AAGTCTACGCTTCGACCAATAGGTCGAAGCGTAGACTTTATCAGTCCATGTCTTTCAAGCCTGAACCTGATATTGATATTCAATGTGCCTCATATAATCATTTATTTCGTCTTAATCAATTTCAACTTTTGTATTCAGTTTCGTCTTAATACAAATGTTACATTGATATTTCTAATTAAAGATCAGCACTGGACTTCGTCAATAGGTACTAAAATAAAATAAAAACTGGGATTCGCAAGAGATTTTAACATGAAAAACTAATCTAACCTAAAAAAAAGTCCCGCCCCGTATCGTGCCCAGCTCAAAACTTCCCATTATATTGGCAGCATTGCCTCGCTGAACGGCCATGGACACTTGCTGAACCAACCATGACCCAGAGCGATGATCACAACCTCTGTCTCTAAGTCGGCGACCCAACTCTTTGAACAAGTCCCGAGCTTCCGAACCCCAGGGCTCCGCCGTCTCGATCGCGACCAATACGAAGTCGTACATCGGCTCCAATGCAGAATATTTAGCATATTTTAGTGCCGCGGCATTTTCAGCCGCGGAACCTACGGAAGTTTGTCTTAAGTAGGATGCAGCAAAAGTACTTACACATGTTGCGTCCCACAGTAGACAATATCTTTCCGCCAAGGAACCAACGTCAAACCGTCCGGCCTTTTACCGTCGATCAGACCCGGGGGCTCGAGCACGCAAGGGACATTAGCTGATACCATCGCCCGCCGCATAATATCATTTATGGTATGGTTATATCGTGGTGTCTGGGAAAAGTACGAGTACGTCTTTGGCAACTTAAGCCATGATGTCCGTCCTCTATCACCATTGTGCCACACACACAGCGGTGCGGCTCACACCCCTTGCTTCCCAAACGCAATGCTACAGCTATCCTTAAAGAATTATCATCGAGCAGAGTACCCAACTGTGGAGACGCCAAAGCATGTAACCACGCTTCCGACTCCGATCCGATCCGCAGAGCCATAAGAGGATGCCAAGAATGCCACAAGGCCTACATCCTGCACTCGACGCACTCCAAGACCACCATACCTAACCAGCAACAAAAAAGTACAGCTTGACACCAATGTGGATGACTGAAACTGATATTTAGCACGATCTCCAGCGTAACCCTGAGTGCATCATCCACAAGCGTACGTGCGTGCGTGCGTGTGTGTGTGTGCGTGCGCGCGTGCGCGCGTGCGTGTTTGTGTATTAACTCAACCTACTCCAACATACACATGTTCTCCTGGTATTTGCCGCCAAATAAAAAGAAACCATCCATTCATTCATACGATATATTTATATACTTGATTATATGTTACTACTACCACCCATGACCATTCCTATTACTAAGTTACACAATTGTATTTTTATCACATATATACTGCACTGCTTCTGCAATTACAAAACCAGCTTAAGCCTACGCCACATATTATTTTCCCACGTGTAGGATGGAATACTATAAAATAATATTATAAAATATGCAGTGTGTTTGAGGATGTGCATGGTAAAAGTCGAAAGTTACAGTTGTATAATAAAAAGAACCAAATTAGACAACAGTGGATAGATAAACAGTTATTCTGTATGGTTTTAAAAAGAGATAAATTGTTTCGTGTATGAAAAGCAACGCCTACAAATATGAACAAGGGTTTGGTCTATACACGGTTTAGGAATAAGGTAATTAAGTTGATTTGTTCTGTAAAAAATAAATATAGAAGGGAGCAATTAATAAAGTGTAAGGGAGACACAAGAAAGATACGGGCACATATTAATGAGTGAACGGGGAGAGTGAGACCTAACTTAGATAATATTATAGTGAAAAACTTAGGTAAAACTGACAATCTTTATAATATATGTAGCAGATATGCAATTACGTTTACGAAGGAAATACTTGAAGTCAAGCATTACTGTAATTTAAAATTTATGGATAGGAAAATGTACTTAATAGAAAGTGATGTTTCCTTTAGGTATAAGAAAGTGAAAGCGTTACAGGTACAAAAAATTATCAAAGACTCCATTGCCATAAAGCACCAGGTATAGATATACTAAGAGTGCAAGACCTAAAATATATTAAGGGAAAAATTAGTCCTATTGTGACGCGTTTCATTAATATGTGTATTGAGAAGGGAATTTATCCTGATCAGCTGAAAAAAGCTTTTATACGACCAATACACAAAAAGGGAAGCTATCTAGACTATACTAACTATAGACCTGTGGCAATATTGTCAATAATTAATAAGATGATGGAAAAGATTGTCGTAGGCCAAGTAACTCAGTTTTTAGAGC